GAAAGAAAGCTTTTGATAATGTCAGCATGGATCCCAATCGCTCTTTCACAAGCGTAAGGTGAATATTGATTAGTGCAATTCCCTTGCCTTTTGGGCTGTGCTTTTTTTACATTTCTGTAAGGAAGTTCTGAAATAGGTTTCAGTTGGACTTTTTTCTTCTCATTTCTTACTGTGCGTATGAGCAGTATCTGCTTTCTTCACCAGCAATAGCAATAATGTGTAACTATTGCCTCAGTCTTAACTAGTTTAATGTGCAGAAAAGCATAGTGTTGCACAGTGTCAGCAATTCCACAGAGCAAGATGTTGATAGAAATGGCAGGCTGCTGTTAGAGGCAGTGATGGGGTTATGGGAAGCCCAGACTCTCTGTGAAAGGAGTCAGTGAGGGTATCTGGGAAAATATGGAGCAGCAACATCTGTGTTTCACCGAGCTCTCATGAGAGAAAGCATTCTGGATGCTTTTTATTACAGGCTGTTCATGAAACTGAGATGGCACCATTGAATGTTTCCAAGATTAGAAATGTTAACGTTTCCTTCACCACATTTGGGAGCTGCTTTTGACAGAGTATGGCTTAGCATACACAGAGAGACCTGCCGTGTTGTAGATTTTGCCAGGCTCTGTAGCATCCGTCATGTCATCCTTTAATCTTTCTGCTTTTTTTTATTTTTCCTCTTCTCTTGCAAAATTTCTGATGCGTAAAAGCCTGCGTTATTTGTGAAGTAAAAGGTCTGCAGTAATTATAGTGTTTAACTTCTGATGTAAAGCATTCTTCTCTTGGGCATGTTGCAAACAGGATTAGCTGTCTTCCTTTCATACTCTCTGCATACTAATTCCAGCAGAACTGCTATGTTACACAAGCAGTTGGTTCCTTTTCCTCTTTTCTTTCCCTTCTATTATTTAAGACAGCTTAAAGAAGTAAATTAAAATCCACTGTTAAGTGGAACCTGTTTCTCTCAGAAAACATAATGATCACTGAGACAATAGCACATGCTGATATAGTAATGAACTGATGTAATGCACTCCATTTCATAGTCTCAAGGCAATTCAGCACTGAAAATTACTCATACACTGAGTTTGCCCACTGTCGTGGTTTAACCCCTGCCGGCAACTAAACCCCACACAGCCACTCACTCATTCACTCCCGGTAGGATGGGAGAGAGAACTTAAAGGGCAAAAGTGAGAAAACTCGTGGATCGAGATAAAGACAGTTTAATAGGTAGAACAAAAGCTGCTCACACAAACAAAGCTGAACAAGGGATTCATTCACCACTCCCCATGGGCAGGCAGGTGATCAGCCATCTCCAGGACAGCCAGGTCCATGACGTATAATGATGTCTTGGGAAGACAAAAACTTCCAAACATCCCCCTCCTTCCTTCTTCTTCCTCCAGCTTTATACACTGAGCACGATGTCGTATGGTCTGGGATATCCCTTTGGTCAGCTGGGGTCAGCTGCTCCGGCTGTGTACCCTCCCAACTTCTTGTGCACCCCCAGCCTCCTCGCTGGTGGGGTGGGGTGAGAGGCAGCAAAGGCCATGGAGCTGTGCAAGCACTGCTCAGCAGTAACAAAAACATCCCTGTGTTATCAACACTGTATCCAGCACAAATCCAAAACATAGCCCCATTCAAGCTACTGTGAAGAAAATTAACTCTACCCCAAACAAAACCAGCACACCAACCCACAGAATCAGTTTAAGAACAGTCCCTCTAGGGTATTTCTAAGTGTTTTGACCAGTCTAGATACAAATTTCACAAGTGTCAAGACCACCTTGCAAAAGAAAATCCAAGAGTTATTTTAAATATATGTGCATTTAACATTAAATACTACTACCATGAGGTTAGAAAAATGTTCTGATTTACCAAAATGAAATTTATATCTAGGCAGAGTGTTTAGAATTGAAGCTGGAAAATATGTTTTAACCCTGGTTATTGACTATCAGAAGGTGCTAGACTGATACAAATGAAATAAGTATAAAATATTTTTATAAAGAAATACTATGCTGTTTAAAAAATTATGACAGAATAGTGTAAATGGATTGTAGAGAAATATAATTCATATGGTTTTGGGGTTTTTTTCCATTCCAATAGAAAATCTTGGAGTTGCAGTTCAGGAAAGATGTTGGCCAAATGGGTGTTCAGAGGAGGTAAGGGGTCTCTGAATCATGAGTGTTTGAAAGAATCCAGGCAAGCAGCTTTCCACAAAATTTAAGATTAATAGCCTTCAAATATGCAGGAGTATTCTGCCACAAAATTTATCTGACCAGTTGGTGAATAAATTAAAAAAATGGGGGATTATATTACAGTACAGAAGGGTCAGCTCAGATGCCTGAACAACTTTTGAATTTTAAGGGTAGTGACACAGAAATAGACCGAATGGGGGTGTCTTAGGCACCCAATCACTGAAACTTTTAAAAACATGTTAGACAACCTCTTGCCAGTTATGACATGGCATATAATTCATCCTGTCAGGACAGGAGGATGGATTAGATGATCACCTGAAATCCCTTCCAGCCATATGACTATTTAGAACAGAATATACACCCACTATAATTTATAACCTGTTTCAGCTTTACTGCTCTTCATATTTTTTTTCTTGTCACCTTTACTGTTCCGTAATAAAATAACTGATGGAAAAAGGGTTTCTTTGTTGAATTACTCTTCTATGGATTATATTAAGGAAACATTGAGAGCATAGCAAGTCCAAGCATACTGGATTCTTCGGGAGCCAGGCAAAATTAAGCAGTAAGTAATCAGTGCCTACTTTGTGTTATCAGTAACTGCTTTATGCTTATAAAAGCTCCGGGTCCATCCCATAACTAAGGTAGCAAATACTTTCAGATGTTTGTCCCAACATGCGAGGAAGTGACAAAAAGTGAAAGATATGGATAACAGAAACATGTATTGCTCAATACTGAGAAAAGCAGTCATCTGCCCCTTCCACGATGCATCTTGAGCAAGCAGGACAGGCTGTAGTGTGTCCCGAGGGTCTAGTTTCCTGGTTGTCCAGCTCAATAGCCTAACTGGAAGGAGTTGCAGCTTACTTTCCAACCACATACCTCATGGCCTTCCTACAAAAACAAAAGCGCTGTGAGGTAGGGAAGAAGAGAACTGAGAGACAAAACTGCTGGCTCACACGCTGTGGTTGCACCCCAAAGGAGAGCTTGGCTACAGCTTGGCTGTGCACTCAGGCACAGTAGGGCACATTTCTTCTAACTGAGCTGGACTCTTAATGTCTGAGCTGTTTCTGAGCAGAATTTCTAGATAGAATAACTATTTCCAACTGATTCCCATTAAGTGTCTTAAAGTTCAGCAGTATGATCCACATACCTTAATTTAAAGAGTTACTACATGTTAACTGGGCTGTGATAGTCTGTCCATAGCAAATGTCAGTGGAAGATTTCTATTCCCAACTCAAATATCACAGAAGTGATAGAAAGAAGGTGTGGCAAATCAGTTTAAAAGTGGTAATTTCTTGAGCTTTGGGACTTCTTTATCAAAGCCCACTCAGCCATCATTCTTACATCCCTCAATTTCTGTGCAGTTTAGCTTGTCTGGAAATCAGATGGAAATAACTTATACATACATACAGGTCATAAATGCTTCCTCAGTCATTTCACCTTGTTTGAGAACAGCTGACGTTCCCAGCTCAGATCAGGTCAGATCCCACCTGGAACAGGATTTTGCTCTGTTTACCTTATTTGAGAGTCAACTGATTGAGAAGCAGGGTTTCCACCTAACCATTCCAGATGTTAGAAATACAATGCTGCTCTTCAGTTTCCTAGAAGTCCTCCCTAAAGATGACCTCCAGCTCTGGTTCATCAGGACACCAGAGTCCTTGACAAAGGAGTAGCACAATGGATGACTGCTTCCTGCTAAATTGCAGCCTTTTGAACAGTCATATCTGTTCCTGTGGCTTCCTGGCCTGGAAAAGACAAGATGGGAAAAGAAAACAAATAGAATAAAATGAAGATAATAATAATAATAAAAAAGCATCCTCATTCCAGTTTCACTTTGCTAAACTGTAGTGACTGACAGTTCAGTGTATGACCTGAATCTAGTTTTGCTCTGCAAAGTAGGAAGCAATGACTCCACCCCAAAAAAGGTATGCTGGGATCAAACGCCATCTGGAGGCCTTTGTGCCTCTCCATCTGCTCCAGACATAGCCTAGACACACCAACTAGACTGGATGTCAAATTTGCAGTCAGTTCAGTTTAAGCCAGGTGAAATTCATCCTATGTGACAAAACAGTAAGTGGTTATATAAAATTTAAGGACAAGTTCCTTTTTCTGAATCTGAAACTAGTGTAATTTTCCTTATCTAAAATAGTAAATACAAGTACACAGAGAAGAAAAGGTGTGGGTATATCATGTGTGCTTGTATAAACACTTCTGTGGTTGTTTACCTAAATCTACCCATGGTGTGAATATGTAAAAGAGGCTGGGCCAATTTCATTGCTGACATAAGCAGTGAAATGACTACTGATTTATATCAACAACATGAATGATTTGTGGATTTCCATGAAGTGCCAGCTAACAAGTTATAGCCCTGTGACCTCACAGTGCTTGTTGATTTAAGGACATTTTTGTCAAAGTTGTTCTGCCAGTCTCTAGATGTTTCAGCTATTGAATCTTACTTGTGTACATTTCAGATTTAAAATACTAGATTTCCGTAATTTAAAATAAATGTTAAGAGTGCTAAGGCGATATGTGTGTATAGCTCTCAAGCTGCATCTGAAAATTTCAAAATGTCTTGATATAATATTTGCTTATACTGCTTGGCACTTTTTTTCAATGAAGGAAAAACAGATCACCAACCAGCTTTCTGATATTTTATTTTATTTTATTTTATTTTACTTTTATTTTTGCCATATATTACAATGCCTAGAAGGTCCACTAGAGGAATAAATTCTGTCTTTGAAGATAAATTAAAATGACTGACAATATAATAAATTCAAGCCAGTATAGGAGGTCCCTTCAAAACAAGAAAATTTAAATTTCCACACCTTTGGGAGCAAAGTTACTGTTTATTGGGCATTATCAGCATTCATAGTCTACCCACAAGAGCAAACTGCTGCAAAGTTTACAATAAATTATTAGAAATACTATCCAAACAAAGGTTATATATCAAAGATTATAAATAAATGCCATGCTTTTTCTTATCTAAAAGAAACACTCATAACCTTATTAACTAAAAATGCAAGTTGGTTTTTAAATTATCCTTTCTCAGATCTCTTCAGAGAAAAGGGTATCACACAGCAGTAACCGCTGCTGAATGGCACTTTGTGATTAGAAGCCGGTGCCTGGGCTGCTGGTGTCACGGTCCTGACCACAAGCAGTGGACTTCCATGCTGAGGTGAGTGGGAATGGCTTTTTGTACAGCACTGCTCCTATCTATCTGAGACTGCCTCCCTGGGGATTGCAGGATTAAATTGCTTGGGAGGCTGCTCACAGTTAAAATGTCTCTAACATCCTGGAGGGCTGTAAAAACACCATGCTCATGAGAAGGTTCATGCCCAGAATGCCAGGGATAAAGAGCAAACAGAGAAAACGCTTAAAAATACTCAGAAGTCATCTGAATAACTGAACTGGAAAGTAGTCTTAACTGGTTTATTTAAGAGAATAAGGAGAAATTTTATGCTGTGCCTAGCAGCGCAGCGCAGCACTGCTCGGCAGAAGGCAGGGCTGGAGGCAGGCTTTTCCCTCTGCAGGAGTCAAGGATAGCTGACGGAGGTCTCATCCACTACCTCTTGGGGCACTTGAAGCTGCAGGAGAGTCTTGACCCCCACTCCTTCTGGTAAAGGCTACATTACCGTGGAAGCATCCTTCTCCCTTGCCCAGCCTTCCGTTCTCTCCTACCTGCCTGAGGCCTCGGGCAGGCTGTGCCCCCTCTCCTGCCAGGGATATCCAGGAAGATGATGCCGTGGGTCACGGCAGCGGCCATGCAGGCTATCCAATTCAGAGTTCACCCACCCTGCACAGGACAGAGCCGGGGCAGAAAAGGATCTAGCCAGTACTTCTCCTACTCAGTGGAAAACTGTGCTGCAGAGCACCCAGGGTCAAAGGTCTGGGGCAAGAGAGTACTTTTGCTTCCTTCTGTATGCTCACAGACAAACGCTGAGCAGCTTGCTCTTCACACCTGCACAGCTGCCACCGTGGCCCCTTCTTCAGCAGAGGCACCAGTGGAGGAGACAACAGGCCACCCAGTCCCAGCAGGTTGGTGAGGATGCCTCTGTCTGCCTCTGTGTCAGCTCCTGGGGTAGGTTCCTCCCTGCTCTGCAATATTTTCTGGACTTGACACAGAGTTCTCCCAGAAGCACCCTTTTGCCCAAGGTCTGGCTTGTCTTATGAGTTACAATCTCTCTTCACCTGCTTCCAGTCAGCTTTTGGCACATTGTCCCTGCACAAAAATCAGACCCTTCCCCACTCTCTTCCAGAATCATACTAGTTTCTTCTCTCCCACTCCTACATGGATCTCCAAGTCTTCAGCCTGGTTCCTCCTACAGATTCTTGATTTGTCATTCCTATTCCTCTGACCTACGAAGACACTTTTTTTTTTTTTTTTTTTTTTGCCAGTTCTCTGCAGAAAGCCTTGATAAATTGGTTTTCCCATTCAGATTTCCTACTTACTGTTCCCAGTTGCATCCATTTGAACAGACGACAGCTAAATGACTAACAGTATTGCTGGTCCAAGAGAAATATGACAGAGTACAGTGAGTTCAAGGTGGACTCATTGTGCACAGAAGTATTTTTCATGACAACTTCAGAAAATTGAGCAGAATACAGAATTTGTTCAGATATCAAACCTGGAGATGTAAGCAGGTCCACCTGAGTCATGAAAACTTTTGTGTTTACAGGCACAATAGATCCAAACCGTCTCAAGGTGACTCTTCAGCTGAAAATCCTTGCCTGTGACCATCGTTCAGCTATTACAATTCATTGTTAGGAGCACTGCCAACAAGTACCTTCTGCCACTCAGCAGAAAAGTCTGAACACTAGTGTGCATATTAACAAATTCTCAGTGGAGATGGGGTTGTTATAATCTGAGGTTGCTGAATTTTTTTCAGTCCTTAACCAAGATTCATCTTCTGCCACTAACCACTATTTAAATGTTTTATCATGCTTTGTGCTTTTTGTGATGAGATTTCTTTGCCAGGCATCCTTGAACACTAACTATTGTAAACTCATATGCTGTTTACAGAGAAAGAGTGAAACATATACATATACTTATGTTACAGAGATGTTAGACAAGTTCAGAAGCTATTGTAAACTCACAGAACACTTATAGATACACAGTAAATATTCTCCATATGTATATATTTGCTATATATTTTTACATGCATCTGTGTGTACATATAAAAGCATCAACTTAACATAAAGACTAAGCCCGCTGTGTTATGTCTGAACTGGTCTGAAGTCTGAACTGGTAGTGAAGCGCACTTTACTTACATACTTTTTGTTCTTTGGAATTTTTGGGAAGCTCCTCAGCTCCTAACGTTACCCAGTTACGTGAGCACCAGAAGAGGGTGCACTTAAGCTACATCATTGCTTTCAGGATGGGGTATGTGTTTTTTGCTTTGTTCTGTTTGCTCAGTGACTGTATGCCAGCCCATTATGAGAATCTTACTGCCATGGCAGTACAAGTTTCAGTGGATTAACTTGTCCCTGTAGGAATGTTTGTCTACCTCTCTAGCCATTTCCATTTTCCATAAGTTTTATCCAGGTAGGTATAAGACCAGAGTCCATCCTGCTCCTTACCTGAGTGCATGAGCTGTGATTATCCTTTGCGCAAGGTGGCAGCAAAAGAAAGCTCTTCACATGTGTTCCTCTCTCCCCTGCACACCTCATACTAAGGAGAGTAACTGCCTCAACTTTGTTGTGTTTTAAAAAAAACACCTTTTATTGCTAGTGGTTAATATATATGTGAATGATACAGAGTTACTGATATCTTTTACTTCAGGAACACTGTCACACTTCTTTCTCCATTTTTTACCAATATCCTCCAGAGGAAAGCCTAGAAAACTGCACACAGAGAAAGGAAAACCATGAAACAAATCCTCCTTAAATCACCGGTTTTCCCTTTTAAATGAGTATTTATTTTTTCAATAAAAACACATCTGCTGTGAGAGAAAGGATGAAGTCCAAGACACAAAAGAAAAAAAGTGTAAGCTCAATGTTTAATTAAGACATCTTCATGCTAGCTGACAAATTCTGATGGATGTACCAGTGGTACACCATGTTTCAGCATAATAATTTTGTATTTCTACAGGAATACAGTCTGAAGAATCTGGCTTTTGAAATCCTAACTATCAATTACCTAGATGAAAAGCAAAGAAACGTGTGGTGTGTACGCCAATGGTTCTCCTGGCCCTATCCAGCATTTGCTGTTTGAATATTTTTAGAGGTGCTTTTGTTTGTTTGCTGTTTTGGGCAATAGAGTTACTTTATTCTCCTAGTGCCCAATATGTGTTGAACAGAATGTTTTACTGCAAGCGTTAGAGTTGGCCAAGCTACATTAAGTCTCAAAATATTCCTAATACATTTTCCCCATATGGAAGAAAACCTTAGGTGAATATTTTCTTTAATATTCTTCATAAACTTCAACTCTGTTAAAGTCAACAGTAGTTCACTGACTGCAATAAGCCCTTGACAGATCCAGAATTTGAACTATGAGCAGAACTGACTACAGTACCCTATTCTAACATTACTGAAATATTCAAAGTAAATGGCTTGTTCATTCCACCTTCTGTATGCCAACTACATTTAAAATGTAAACCTAGGCTGCTGCTTATTTTGAAAAAGCAGGGATTACTCACCTTGAAAGTACAATACAGTATGTGTGATTTTTATTCAGAGACAGGGTAAAAGATCAGCCAGTCAACTTTGGATATGAGCATTCTCCACAAACTTAAAGCTTGTTTCGATGACTGTAATCTTATTCCAAAAACACCGTGTTTTCAGAACTTGGAGAATATTTTATTATGGAATACAAAAATACTATCTATGTAAAAACAATAAGTTAGTTTATTTACAGTACTTTACACTATTCTTCTCTAGGGCTTCCTTTGCATTGGATTTATTTTCATTATTTTACACGCCTTTATAATTTTGCACAAAGCATTTCCAAAAGCATGTCATCCATGTTCACTGCTCCGATGATGGGCCTAAAGAATAGTTCGGCAATTACATTAGCATTAATAGATCTTAACAAGGATAGAACAATATTCAGCTTGGCAAATCTGGCTTCATCACCTCTGTGAATGAGTCTGACATGTTCATTTAGAGCTTGTTGTGCTTCCCTCTGCAGTCCTTCAATATATTGTGTACACTGCAGTCCAGGTAAATCTGAAAAGAAAAGATGAATTATTTTGTTTACATAGGCTTTGTCTATAAAACAACATCCTTCTTACAGAACAACTACTAAGAGCTTACAGATTGCATTTATCACTCAAGGAATGTAACAAATGAAATCGCTATAGTACTTCTTGTGTGCAGAATCAACGCGCCAAATTTTATAGGGCAGTTCAAAATCTTATCATGTTAGTGTTCTGGACGTTCAGTACTTTTCTTCAGTGCACAAACTTGAAGTACAATGTTTGCCAACATTCTCTTAAGTTTTAAATAAACGAATAGATAAAACAAAATCTTTGGCTGAAGAATGCTCTCCAAAACACCTTTAGAGTGGCAAATGCAATCTGTAAGCAGTGGGGAAGACAATAAAAATAACTTAGTAACTTGTTCACTTCTACAAAATGTATTATTCACATCTAAGGCATCTTTTGACAACTGTTTCTGACTAGCTCCAGCTTACAAATGTCAAGAAGCATTAGCTCCGAAGCATGACAGAAAGTTTCCTGGTGAACCACAGTAAGGATACTGAAGGACGGAGAGTGCAGAATTTCCCCTTTTCAGACTAACTAGCAGTTTGGCAGTGGGAGCGCGGGAAGAGCCATGCCCCACTCCCACGGGAGTGCCGTACTTCGCAAGTGCCGCATCCAGCCCGCCCGCCACCCTTCAGGCAAGTCACCGGCACGACAGTCAACCACTGGGTAGAGCTGCGCCTATGGAAGTCTCCACAAAGAGAGATGACCAAAAAAAAAAAAAAAAAAAATCATAAAGGCTCCATGCAAAGCCGAAACAGCACTTCGCTCCTGGAAGCCCTGAGCCGTGCCTCGTTTTCTCCGCGGGGCGTGCAGACCCGCCGGGGCGCACGCCCGGAGCCGCCAGCCCCGGGCGGCCGGTGACCGGCGGCGGTGGGGAAGGAGCCCCGAGACCCCCGCCCCTCCGCCTCGGAAGCGGACAGGGAGCCGCTGCTGCCGCCTCGTTTTCCCTAAGCGACTGCCTGGGGTTTGCTGTGTTCGCGGAAAGCCTCCGAGGAAGGCGCCAGCCCCCGCGACCCCCGACCCGGGCGCAGCCGGGACCCCTCCAGCCGGTAACGGCAGGCGGGGCGGCCGCCGCCGGCTCCCTGCCTGCCAGCCGGGGCCCTGAGCAGAGGACTGGGGGAAACCTTGCTCCGCATCCCCCTTCCACCACCTCTTCCCTCCCAAGGAAAAGCCTGGGGTCTGCCCCGTTTCGCTGGGGATACAGGCGGGCTCTCCCAGTTACTTCGTCCCCCGTGAGAGGGGAGATACCAACCCGCCCCCCCCCCGCCCCGTGCCGCCCCGCCCGGCCACTCACCCGGGTTGAAGAGCACCGTCCCCTTGAGGTAAGCGTACTCTTTGGTGCTGATATCCAGGCTCCAGCATTTGGCCAGGAAGCCCTTGATGGACTGAATCTCCCCGGCCGAGGGCAGGTGGGGGCCGCCGCCGCTGCCGCCGGGGCCGTGTTGCGGCCGGCCCGGCGCCGGTCCCCGCGGCGGGGGCTGCTCGCCCTGCCGCCGGGCGGTGAGGATCCTCTGCAGCATGCTGGGCTCCGCGCTCTCCACCGTCTCGAAGTGCACCCGGTCCTGCGCCAGCCCCAGCACCAGCAGCGGCGCCCAGCAGCTGCGGACCAGCAGGAGCTGCTCGTCCAGGGGCAGCTCCTGGAAGCAGGGCACGTTCTGGACGAAGCGCAGCGTCTTCACCAGCACGGCCGAGGCCGCCTTGCAGGCTACCTGCGGGCTCCTCAGGGACACCCGCCGCCGCGACCCGCAGGGGCAGCCGCGGGACGCCCGCCCCGCCCGCCTCGGCCCCTGCCCCGCCGGCGACGCCGCCCGCTCCTCGCTCCGGAGGATGCTGTAGAGGATGCTGCTGTTCCGCCGGCCGCCCGCGCAGCAGCGGCAGCGCTCCACGCACGCCATGGCACCCCGGGGGGGGTTCGGCACCCAAGGGTGCGAGCACAGCTGGGGGGGGGGGGGGGGAGGAAGGCAGAGGGGGGCTGGGCGGCAGCGATCCCGGCCGCCTCGGCCCGCCGGGAGACGCACACTGCTCGCCCTCTGCCCGGCTCTTAACTTATTTATAGCCGGCGGGTGTGTGCGCGTGTGTGCAGCCGCAAGCGCTGTACCAGCGGTTCAAAGGGGCAGACACTCTTTACTGGCTGGAAAAGAGAGAGAGGAGGGGAGGGGGGGAAAGAAAAAAAAAAAAAAAAAAAAAAGAATCCCCTCCTCCTTTCCTGAGGCAACGGTACCTAGAGGGAGCCGGCGAGCCGGCCGCCCCTGCCGACAGGCTGCGGCGCGAAGAGCGGCCCGACTGCCTCCCCCGGTGCGGGGCAGCGGGACGCCCCTTCTCACCCCCTCTTCCCGCGCCCCCGGCCCGTTTGATATTATCCCGGGCTTCTTAGGGCAGGGCAGGGCGGGACGAGGAAAGCAGCTCCCACCGCCCTCTCGTTTTGCCCTCGCTGTGCGCCGCCGCCGCCGCCCCCCGAGAGCCCCGCGGGGCCGCGGGGCAAAATGGCGCCGCTGCCCTCCCGGGTGCTGTAGCCGAGCGGTGTGAGGGGAGGGAAAAGGTGAACTGGGGGGAGGCAGGGCGGAATTGGCCCAAAGACTAAAATTCCCGCAGGAGGGGAGAAAGGAGACGCCGCTAATGATGCCGGGGCGTCTGCATGTGCCTGTCCTAAGGAGTACTGTCCCAAGCGCCTAAGTAACACCTTCCTGCTGCTGTGTGGGGAGGGAGAAGCAGACATGTTCCTGCCCAAATGAGCGTGGCTCTGTGAGGTTGGGGTGCAAGCAAGGCTCGGTTAGGGTGCCCTGGGGCTGGTCCCACTGTAGCATCTACGTGGATCTACTGTGAAACCATCCTGCATGACTAATTACCTTCCTCTGCTTTGTGACACACGGCACATCTTTCCTATCCCATGTTGTTTCATTCACCAGTTTAAATATATTTCCGTTTTCCTTTCAAGCTCTGCTTGTCTTGAAGTGAATCTTTCCTCTTAGATTTAGATACCCACTTTTCTGAGACCCATCTCCTCCATGTGGCATACAAAGCAAGGAAATAATCTTTCCAAGCCTTGCTATTTACACATGAGGGGTAAGGGAATAGTGACTGTCCAAATGTGATTTACTCATGAATTAAAAATGAGCACACTGACTTTCTCAGTTGGGCTAACTAAAAGTGGGTGCAGCAGTGAGGAGTATTTAATCTCCACAGAAAGTACAGAGTTACTTCCACGTGCAGGACATGGGCTAAAACAGAAACATTTTATGTTTCATGTGATTTGAAAGAACCTTGGCACTGATTTAGAGAATGTAGCCAGTTGCAAGCAACCTTTTGTACCTGCTCCATCAGTGTCTGCTACAAAGGGATGTCTAAATCACCCCTGGAAAGCTACATTTTTTTTCAATAAAACTATGCATGTGTTTCAAGCAAATGCCATTGAGTGCTTTGGATTTCTTAGAAACAACTTTGGGCTGGATCTCAGCAATTTCTTTTCCCTGTGAAGTCTGCCCTACTCTATCAGTTTACATAGGTACAGATAGAGTCATATAATCATTTCTCTCAAGTATTTCTTCACTATTGGACTCGAGATATTCTTCACAAACAGCACAAAAGGAACTTTTGTATGTATATAAAGCTATATAAGGCACTGGTGAGTTATCTGCCTCAAATAAACCTTGTTTTCCAAATTCAGGTTATCCAAAATCTGGATTATTATACCTTTTGTTTTACCTATGAAATGCATTTTTTCCAATAGACCCAAATATGACAAAGCCCTTTATTGGCTTTGCAGTAGTGGAAAACTGTTACACTGCACCAATGAAGTGATGTCTACAGTTTGCAGACAGGCCAGTTGGGTCCCTGGAATGGAAAACAATGTTTCAACAAACATCCTTTAAGAAAAAAAAAATGCTTAGAATTCCAAAACAAATTTAATAATATCAAATGTTACCAAATTTTTCATTTTAAAAATATCACTGGTAATGGGAGAACACTAATTTATTTGTTTAGAACATTTTCTTGCCATTCTATATTGTTTCCTGTTATACTGATCAGTGTTTTCTTAACATTGTTAGGATTTTAGAGGGGTTATTTTTGCCTTTTTAATATTTTTCCTTCTTCATTTTCTGTGGGTTTGGGTTTCTTTTTTTTGGGGGGGGGGGAAGAGGGGGGGAGAGGGGTTCCACTAACTTTAGAAATAAATCTTGCCAAGTGTTAGGAAAAGAGTATCCCTAAGCTTTTAGTTGGCTTCACTAGCACCTTTCCAATGAGGTACTTATTACTAGACTGTGGAACTTAACTGTGGTTTTTATGAGGTTGTAACTTGGAAGGTATCTCTGGGAAAGTGTGATACAAAGGCAGGACTCAGGTCATTGCCTTTGCAGTTTCGACCTTGGATTCCAATTGTGGGAACATTCTGCTTCTTATGGGAGGATGCTGATTACACAGGGCCATAGACAAAGGCAATATTTAACTCTATACAATAGAAATTTTTCCTGATATAGCAATACTGGTTGCAGGTGTTTAATTTTTCAAGGAATTTCACTTTCAACCAAGTCTCAAATGTAGATGCAGTTCTACTATCATATAATGATTTTGCTGACACAGTTAATCTTCTAAACTAACTTATACAGAAAGGCATTGTCTTTGATAACTATGTCAACATGGGTATCCCATACTGAAACTGAATCTTGATTTAATATGCAGTGCCAGAAATTACATTACTGTACTTACAAATGTACCTCCTTCTCTCGTAAGTGCATATAAGGACTCATTTCTCTCTAACTCTTAATGTATCTTAATATATCCTAATGTACATGACATTCTATTCAGGGTACATCATCTCTTTCCCAGCTAAAACATCAAGAATGTCCCAGAAATATTTGGTTTTCACATTGATATTTAGCAATTTGCACAGTCTCTATTTCCAAGTCTGAGTTCTGACTGTCCATAGCATTCAAGCTAAATTAAAGACAACAAAGCTTTCTATTTAAAACCAAAAAGAAAACAAAATACCTGACAGACAGGTAATTATTTTTTTGGTGGAAAATGCATGAAAACACTTTTAGCAAAAGGTGGATGTGTCCAATTTCTGCTAAAAGATGTAATGTTACATGAGTGTTCCAAAGCTCCTTGTGGTACAGTCATGAATAGTTTTGCATGCTTCCAGACAAAGGATTACTTATTTGTGGCTTTTTTGGTTGTTTTTGTTTTGGTTTGTTTTTTGGTGGTTTTGTTGTTTGGGTTTTTTTTTTTTTTTTGGTGTTTTTATTTTTTTATTAACTCAGACAAAAGCCTTGGATATGAAGGTGATACAGTGCAGTCTTGGCAGTGTTACTGTTTCATGTTGCTCTTCAGTGTCTCTGTATCACTCATCTGGTAGCACATTTGGTTCTTGGCCAGAGGACAAGACTTCAGTTTCAGAACAAGACCAAACAAGCATTTGTTTTTATGCCATCAGTGCTTTAGTGCATCATTCGCTTGAGAGAGACCTTTTTTTCCAGTGGGGAACTGGATCCTGATACCCTCTAAATACCTACTATTCTTTCCAGTATAAGTCCTGAAAAATAAAATTTGATCTTAAGATCAGATGTAAAACTAAGACTCAATTTGGTGATTAGCACAAGATAAGGTAACTTGTTCTCTGGAAGAAAAAAAAAAAAAAAAAGTTGAATGTGGAATATGATATAAGGACATGATTAGCAAGATGTCTTTTGTATAAGAGAAATACTGCTGGTTTTCACATGTTTCTCATTGTGATTGTTCATTTGTTAGATTGACCACCATTCATAGTTCCCTTATTTTACTGGGGTGGTTACTTGAAAATAAGTGGAAATGAAGGGGAAAATATCACCATGAGCAATGTTCTACCTATACACTGTACCATGTATTCCTGATGCCACTGTTGCCTCCTTTCTTCATGGGCAATGGATTCCTCAGGAGGAGCGTATGGAGAGCCTGACTGATGCTGCCTGAGCTGAAGACAGTTGATGTGTACCCAGTCAAGGGATGCTGACATGAATTTACAGAGCTTTTGCAGCTGCCCTAAGGCTGTGATTTGACTGACACCACCAGCTCCCCTAGCAGTATGTGTTTGTTCTGGATCAGGATGAGCGTATGGTGACATTTTTATGGAATTAGCCAGAGTATATAAAAAAGAGTTTATACCAGTTTTAGACCTTTCTGACAGCTGCTTGAAAGTAGGCGATGTGTAATCTGGTTTAGACTGTAATAATGCAAATTCAGCCCTTCAACATATCATGAACAAACCTGCAAAAGGAAATTTTTTATTATTTGTTGTGGTTTGAGCCTACTCAGCAGCTAAATGCCACATAGTCGCTCACCCACCCTCCCCCCACTTGGGAATGGGGAGGGAATTGGAGGGGCAAAGGGAGACTTGCGGGTGGAGATAAAAACAGTTTAATAACAGTAACAGAATAATACGCTGACAGCAGTATCAACAGTTAATGTACCATACAGCTGCTCACCACCCACCAACCAACCAACCAACACCCACCTGCTCCCAGCTGGCGATCCCAAACACAAAGGCCCCACAGCCACACTCCCAGAAGTGGCAGCCTCTCCCAGCCCTCTCCTGCCTTTATATAGTGAGCACAATGTCACGTGACATGGACTATCGGCCAATCGGGGCCCAGCCCTCCAGCTGTGCTCCCCCCGCCCCCGCACACAGGTGAGGGCCCTGGGCCCTGGGGAGCCCCTGGGGTCTCAGGGGGCTGCAGCTCCTCCCGCTGCCAGACCAACGGGAGCTCTAGGCCAGCCCCAACCAGGACATTATTTTTGGGGGCGGAGGGGCAGGAGGAAGGTCAAATCAGTTCTTTGCATCATGTGGCTGTGGCATTTTGGATACAAGAACTAGGAATCCTGAAGTTAAATTTACTGTTATTGGACCATGCACTTCACTGTCATATTTCTACTGGCAGATAGCCAATTTAAGGAGGCCTTTACATATCCCAGACCTTTTTTTCTCACACCAGAATGTTAATTCACCTTAGCTAATGTAACTAGGTTTGGGGGGAGGCAAAATTAGGGGAAGAGAAGCAACTCTGTAAACTTTTTCCACTTAAAGGCACTCAGCTTCTTCCCATTAAAAAAGTTTAATTGATCTTTGGGCTCTGTAAAGAGCTGTGTATCCCAGCAATCCAAAACCATTTAGGTATGCTGTTGAGTGTTGGCCATTTCAGTGTTTGAATATAAGTAATAATTTATGTTTTTGTCCTAAGTGAGTTGATGCGGCTCTCAAACATCTGCCAGTGTGACATGCTTAAGGGAGCAGTCCCATAAGACTGCCTGAGCCAATCTAGTAGCTCACTGGAGCTGAAAGAGGCAAAATCCACAGATGCACTTGCTGCCACTTCTTTCCTTGTGCCAGCTCTGGCACTCGCCTGAGTCCTTGGTGAGCCAAATCCTTTTACTAAGCTGGCAGCATTTTTATAGCATTCACTACAAGAAACGTGGCAGAGAAATAAGATACCTCGAAATGTGCTCTCCTTGCTTTATTTTCCCTGGTGATGCTTTTGAAGTTTCTGCCCTACCTGACAAGTTGTAACACTCATGTGGTATGGCAGAATTCTGCTTGGCTGAATCAGCAAAAAACCTAACCCATCAAGAAAAAATACGTAATTTTCTGCCAGTTTACTGAACTGAACTGATTCAGCTAGGGATCAGATGGGTGCCAGAGCAGGTAGAAATGAGAAGTCTGACCTCCCTTCCAGGGGTGAGAGAAGAAGGAGGAAAGAGCAGGGCCACTGCTGCACGCCATTGTTCCACTCAGCCACCCCATGGAACTGCTCCCTCAGGAAGGCAAAACCCTAAGCTTGATAGCAGAAAAACTAGGGGTAGGAGAGAGAGGGCTTGTAGCAATCTTTAGTTTTTTAAATTAATCTTTTAAATACAATCTGAAATAGATCTGTACTCTTGCTAATGACACTTAGATAAGGGAATTGTGTTATAAAGTATCAGTGTAGAAATAACTTTTAATTACTGAACTTATTACATTTATTAGCCTTGAGGAATACATTGCTGATGAAGAACAAGAGATGAATAGTAGGCAAAAATCTGGCAAATTAAGGTCTTTAATACACTGTTCAAAGTTATGGCATAAAGGATATAACATTCTAGCGCTACTATGGCAATAGGACACTATGTATCCATTACACCAATCCTTAAATTGAAATTTCTGTATAAATACCTATGTTATTGCAGCTGATGGTCTGAGACTGACAAGTTCACAAATACAGTTGTGAGTATTATCATAGCATATGCTTTTAATAAAAAATTTACATTTATATAGGCTTATCAGTTAGCATGCATTTTATCTGAAAATCAGTGTGGGGACTTTCAAAATCCATACATCTTTCCATCGGTTTTAATTCAGAGATATTTCATCCAAGTTGGATATTTAGAAATACCATCCTTCTGGTGAATCAGTGATGTAATTCCTCATTAAATCAGGTTCATGTTTTGGTATTAGAAAATTATTAATTTTCTTTTTACCATTCTTCA